AATAAAAAAAGAATCGAATTATTTGAAATGTCCGTAGAAATAGGCAAACGAATTTATTTGGAGAAGTTGTCAGATCGCTTCAGCCGTCAGAAAAGCTTTTGATCTGTCGCCGGTTTGCATTCGTCTTTGGGGTAAGGAAGTTGCTGTATTTCGAAATGTATAGACGAGCTTTCATTTTCGACTTGACTGAGCGCAACATATTGACAATATCGAAAATGCGTCTCTCTTTCTCGCGAACTCTACCGTTTGATCCGGCGGGATTTACCGCTCGGACAAGAACGATTTCACTGTGTAAACAATGCGCTTTTACACTATTTAGAAAAAGCACATCAGATCATTTTTTTTTCTCGAAGGCTTCATATCTGCTCAGTTTCAAAGCAAATTTTTAAAAGAATTAATGGATTTATTTCTAATCTGACATTACTTCAAAAGGTAGTTTCGACAACATAGATTCGACCCGTGCCAGAGGATAAATTTTCTTTACTTACATTAAAATCTGCATGCCGATAGATGGAATATACACTGTTCAGTAAATAATAATAGGGCGTCTATTTCAAATAAGAAGTTCCCATTATAATAGCTTTTGAAGTAATACACACTCTCACACACACACACATATATATATATATATATATATATATATATATATATATATATGTGTGTGTGTGTGTGTGTGTGTGTGTGAAAAAAAAAAAAAATTACAGACAATTGCTGATACCTCCCAAAAAGTGGAGCGAAAGATTACAAAATGTTCGTCTACGAAAAACTCGAGTCGGGGTATATCAGCTATCTGCTGAGTGAAAAATTTATATTTGTAGTAATGCTATCTCTCCTTATATATATATATATATATATATATATATATATATATAGTGAACATTGATGCCAACACTGAGAGGCGACAGTGTTTCATGCTAGACGCAATCATCATTCAATGTTCACCTTTATACTTACACAAGCTCTCTGATATTGAGCACGTTATTCTATAAATATAGCACACCTTAAGACAATATTTCTTCATATATATATATATATATATATATATATATATATTGATCCAGCGAGGTCAGGTGAAAAACCCTGTGGATGCAACATGAAAGGCTTTTGCAAGTTTTGTGACAAGGTTTGTAAGTCTGTTGCACGGACTTAAACATCACGCCCGTGTACGCAGAGTCATGTGTTTATTAACATTGTTCACACAGCAAAACTTTATGTTTGCAACGTGTGTAAGAGGGGTTGTAAAAGTGAAGCTGTCCTTAAGAATCAATTACAGCTCCATAGCGGAACGTAAACTCGGTTAAAATTATGGAAATAATCAAAGTTTGGATGAAAAACACAACAAATAGCTCTCAAGTGATGAGATGGCTTTCTACAACAATAAATAACAATCATCATATCGTTTCTATTTGGTGTCTCCTTTTGACGTTAGTTTTTGTAAAATATTGAATATTATTATAGATTTAATCAATAATCCGCTTTCCGCGCGGACATCCATACGAACATACATTTAGCTTTATATGTTAGATGAATGATTTCGTTTTCATTATAAAATTGAGAATGTTCCCCCATTTTTTAGTCTTGTTCTGAAGATTATCATTCTAATTTTCAAATGTAAATAGAAGTTAACAAGAAAAAGAAAAAAAAACAACGAAATTTCAGACAATGTCTTCGTTAGAAAATTAATTAATTAATTAAAGTTTAAAATGAATAACTGAATATTGGGCAAAAGAAATGAAAGCAATAATGAAACTATCAATTTAATTTTCGAAGATAGTTAAAGCAACACCTAAAAGAAAAAGGACAATCAATTGGGTCGTAATTAATTTAGAGTGAGTGAAGCTTGGACATTTGTCCTAGGCTAGATGTTCGCAGTGAATGTCGATATCTGCTAAAACTTTATGCACGTTTAAATAGCAATTTAGATATCTGGGAAACGTATTGACAGATGACAGAAATTTTGAAAAGGAAATCCAAAGGCGTATTGGGATAGCGAAAGACGTTTTCCAAAAGCTAAGCAAAGTATCAGTGGCGTAGCTAAGGGAGGGACCGCCCCGAGTGCCAGCACAGGAGGGGGTGACACAATGTCACGCCCAACAAAATTTTTCAACCAGGCTAAGGTGCCAAAAGTAGTCTGAAAACAGTGGTGGAGACACAGGGTTTCGCAGGCGGGCATATGACCCCCCAGAAATAATTTATGCCCCCCCCGTTTGCATGGGTCAGAAATTTTCTAATAAATTGTCGGGTAATTTGTGAGTAGGAAAAATAGCAATGTTTTCAGCTTTTGATTTGAACTGATTATTTTGTGGTATCGGATTTTGTCTTGGATCAAACATGTAAACATTAACGTACCGGTCAGTAGAGTAAAGTAGAGGTAGAGCATGTATGAAAATTTAGCTACAGCTAACCATTCAACATAGGGTGAATCGGGGTCATTGGGTTGACATTTGAGCGGACCGCCCCGGGTGACGTTTACTCTAGCTACGCCACTGCAAAGTATTAAGAAAAAGAAAAATATATGTCGTTCTTTTCTTTTTATGAGCCATATGCTTTCAGTATGTAGGATATCATGGCTCTCCGTGTCCTTCTACCGCTTGCAGCTCTTAACATGTTCCATCCCTTTGCTTGCTCCCCCAGACCATGTTTTGTATTCGACTTGTTTTAGTCCGCCAGGTAAGTCACGCGTTTTTTTCCCTTGTCTCTCTTTCCCTCTATCCGACCCGTGAGTATCAGATTCCTCAGGCTCTCCTTCTACATTATATGTCCCAGAAACTTCAGCTGCCTCTTCGTGATATTAAATATAAGCCTATTCTTTGTTTGTATCCTCTATAAGATCTCATCATTGCTCACACGCTCGGTGCATCATATCCTTAGAATTAGAAACAAAGATACGAGAAACGAACTGTCATTTAATAACTGCGCTCCTATATGCCAGTGAATGTTGGATGATCTCTTTACGGATAAAGAATAGAGAACAAGAGAAATATGCTTCTATGTTGCAAATATCATGAACCGAACATGTGAATAAAGACCTAGTTTTAGAGCAAAATTAAACCAAACAGGACACATACTTGAGGACAGGAAGATAGAATTGAAATTTCTAGAACACATGAAGAGGTGGATGGAGAATTTGTCAGTGGCAGTCAAGTGGAACGAATCAAGTGGAACGAATGGGCAAAGGATAAACTTTACCAAGAGCCTCGAAAGATAGCAAGTTGTGGAGAGCCGTGAACGCCAACATCCTGTACGGGTAAGACATAAAGAAGAAGAAGAAGAAGAAAAGTCCAAAAAGGAAATCCGGAAACACATCGGGAAGACGAAAGGTGCATTCCAAAAACTAAGCAAAGTATTAAGAAACAGAAACATACGTTACTGATATGTAATACCAGTCCTCGTATAAGACAGTTGATGCTGGACATTCTCATCTCAGATAAAGAGAATTGAAGCAAAAGAAAGGATGTTCTACAACATTACTACTACATTAGAGGTATAGATTTGAAATAGACTTTAGAAACCCAATCCTAAACAAGAAACAAGGGATAAACATCTACTCCTGTTCAAAAGAACAGTGTGGCCTGTGAATAGTGTGATAGGCTGACATATCTTCTACGTTAATGTTATAGATTTGAAGTAGACTTTCGAAAAGTCATGGGATATCTGCGGCTTGTTTGCCATTTCTGAATGGCATGCTTAATTTCATAAGCAAATTAACGTTTCTTCAATTTTTATTTTATTTCGTTCTCGTTTGTTCACTCACACACTTTCTGATACGTAATCACAGAAATAAACAATGATCAAATACAATGTTTCTTGAATTTTGTAAACTTTCGGAAAACTGACCTTGTCAGTATTTTAAACAATTGGCAATTTTCACTAAGGGAAACATCTTTTATTTCTCAAACATGTTTCCATGTGGTTCTAAATAAGTTCATAAGAATTTTTTTTTCTCTAAAGGAGAATTGTTTTCATCTTCACACGAATAAATTAGAAATATATCCCACACAGTGACATTTTATAATCACATTATCATCAGTGATAATATTATACAAAGACTTCAATTATTTTAATTATAAAAAATATTTTCTTAAAAATAGAAATTTCCTCCTATTTCTAAGGTATATACTTACGCATGTGGTTTTCTGTAGTGAAAATAGCTGAGGTCCCTACTACGAAAAATTACTTTGAATGTTTTTAATAGTGTGGCACACCCTGTAGTGAGCCATAGATCTTGTGGCCCACTGTTCGAAAGAGGTTGCTCATGCCGGCTTTAGAAGTACTGGGAATGTGTGTGTACCGAACGATAGGCGAAATTATCCATATCTCTTTGGAAAAGAAAAAGGAATTCAGTAGTAAATAAATGTTCAGAGATTTAGGCGGAGACGTTAGAAGTTAAAGAGCTGAAGTAGACATTAGAAGGAAACGAGGGATAAGCCTAGACTCCTTTTTAAATGACTGGAGAGGAGTGTGAACCAGGCGATAGGCGAGTCTATCTATTCCTATTCTGATAAATTGAGAGTGAAATCTCTTTCAATATTCTGCCGGTTAATTAGGACAAATTACTTTATTCCTGTCGTGTACCAATTAACTGGTGTCTAGTATATATTGTGTTTAGTTTGTTTTTGTTTGTTTTTTTTTGTTTTGTTTTTTTTGTTCTTTTCTAAAAATATTTTAGCATTTATCGTTGGCCCCGTTTTGCTGTTAGCAATCTTCTGTAATTTTTCCGACAAACAAACACACGAAAAAAAAAAAAAACTCGTCAGTGACACGTGTAACTATCTCCACTTGCAAATTCAACATTCGATTCAATGACTCTATTCAACACGCGATGGGTTACAAAAGAAGATGGCGTGAAAGCTTGTGGTTCTCGTATGTGGGCAAAGAAGGCAGTTTATAGCGATGGCCCGGCCGAGAATAGGCTATAGGGTAGGAGGTAGCAAATACCAACTCGAGACAGCGGCCCGTACCAGGGGAGTGCCCCTAAGCCTGTCGTCCAGTCGAAACACTCAGCTGATGACACAAGCCGGGATTCTCTTAATTAGAATAGATGGTCGGGGTGATCGGATTGCAGGTCGGAGTAGGGCTTCATGAGTGGCTGGGAAATGAAACTGGGGTGGGGAAAAGGGGTAGCAATATTTGAATTGAGCTGTGGACTGTGCTTGTGTAGGTGAGTGATGAGAGCGTGTCGGGTGGAAGACGTGGGTAAGGAAGGGGTTAATGAGGACCCTGGGGAATATGGTTCTAAATGCAGACAGATGTGGGTGTCCCCCTGGACAGGGTTTAGCATGGTTTGACGTTTTAGGAAAAAGAAAGCAAGGAAGAAAAGAAAAAAAAAAGCAAGGAATGAACGCACCAAAATGTATGAGATATAACGACAAGACATTTAAAGAGACTTGGTGAAAAGAAAAATGGAAACCAAAAGGAAAAGTAAGGAATGGAAGGGACATAGGAAAAAAGAGCCCGAAATATAAAAGAGTAGGGAAATTAAGAATACTATAAAAATGAAATGAAATGGAAGAAACAAAAGTGTAGTAAAAAGAAAGAAATAACTGAGGACTCCGAGAAAAAGAAAGAAAGAAAAGGAAAGAAAAAAGGGAAAGGAAATGCATGCGAAAAGAAAGAGAGAAAGAAAGAAATAAAATAATGGGATCTAGTAAAATAAATAAAGTAACGGAAACTAAAACGATAAAAAATACAAGGGAAAAGAAAAAAGAATTAAAAAAAATAAAGAAAGAAAGAATCACAGATTCCGTGAAAAATAAAGAAAGGAAAGAAAAGAAAAAAAGCAATAGCATGGGATAAGAAAGAAAGAAAGAAAGAAAGAAAGAAAGAAAGAAAGAAAGAATCAAGGACTCCGCGAAAAAAGGAAAGAAAAATAGAAAAAAGAAAATAGGAATTGCATGGGATAAGAAAGAAAGAAAGAAAGAAAGAAAGAAAAGAAAGAAAGAAAGAAAGAATCATGGATTCAGTGAAAAATAAAGCAAAGAAAGAAAAAAGAAACAAGGAATAGCATGAGATAAGAAAGAAAGAAAGAAAGAAAGAAAGAAAGAAAGAAAGAAAGAAAGAAAGAAAGAAAAAGAATCAAGTACTCAGAAATACGTGTGAACAGAATGAAAGAAAAACTGAATCAAGGGCTCGGAGGAAAAGAAAGAAAAAAGAAAAGAAATGGGAAACAGGAATGAGAAAAGAAAGAAGGAATCAAGGAAGCCTGGTGAATGAATAAAAGGAAAGCAAACAAAAATTCTATCAATAAATGTACGGCTAAGTAAAGAAAGAAAGGAAGAATTGATGAATAAAGGGAAGGAAAATAAAGAAAGAAGTGAAAAGAAATCAGAAAGGAAGAGAGGCAGTAAAGAAAGAAAGAAAGAAAGAAAGAAAGAAAGAAAGAAAGAAAGAAAACAATGAAAAAGAAGGAAGAAAATACAAAAGCGGCAAATAATTAAGAATGCGAGATAATAAATTAAACAAAAATGAATGACGGAAGTAAAACGAAGAAAATTAAATAAAAGGGAATATTTGAAGAAAGAAAAGAGTAAGAAAAAAAAAGGGAATGAAAGAAAAGAGAAAACAAATAAAGAAAAAGGAAAGCGAAATAATGTAAAGGAAAAAGGATAAAGAAATCGGGAAAAGAGTGAAAGTTAAAAAATGGGTGAAAAAAAGAGGAAAGAGAGATAAGTAATGAAAATAGAGAATGAAGAATTAAAGGATAAAAAAAACAAAAATAAAGAAGAATAAAACAAGAAAAGAAAGAAGAAAAAGTGAAATCGAAACGAAAGGAAAGATCGGTAAAAGTAAGGAACGAAAAAGGAGAAAATTGAGAAAACACAGAAAGGATGAAAACTGCAACAAAAAAGGAAAGAATAAAGAAAGAAAGAAAAATAAAAAAAACGAAAGAGAAAGTAAAACGAATGAAAGAAAAAAAAACAAAGAAACAGAAATAGGAAAGAATGAAGGGAAAAAAAAAGACGCAAGTAAAAGAATGTAGAATGAAAAAGTACGAATTAAATTGCAAGATTTAATAAGATAAAAAGAAAATTATGATTTTTATTTCTGAGGTATTTCTTTTTTCTATACCATTTGCTTTAAATACTTACTCAGTCATGTCTCTCCGCAACTTTCTATCTTTTGTTGCTCTAAATAATATTGACCCTTTACCATCCCACTTTCTTCTTTTTCTGCAACCCATAACATATTAATTACATTACCGGCCTTTTATCATATCTTTTCTTGCCTTAAGTGTGCACTGTGAGTTTTAGATTCTTTGACCCCTCTTTTCTTATCAAATGTCACAGATATTTCAACTAACTCAGTCTTAATTTCTTGTTGTTTCCTATTTTTCTGAAACTATACTCGTTTCGTCCAGGCTCTTTATTGTCTTCATTGGGAGAACCACAGCAATGTCACTTCAAGTCCCAACTTTAACGTGAGGAAATTATCCATAATTCACTGCCATAGAGGAAATTAGATATCGGAGATCAGTTTATTCCTTTCTATATTTCTAATGATAGTTTCATAATACTTTGCTTTGTTTCTGGAAAGCATCTTACTTTATTCTTATGTGCCTACGATTTATATATCACGCTTTCTATCGTCTGTCACTACACTAGTGATTTTCCAAGCATAGCTTAGATGTGGCACAAGGCCGGAAGTATAGGGCATCCAGTGAGGATTGAACTCACTTTTCAGTAGTAACAGACCTAGCAAGACAAGCTTGCTAACCATTACACAACGTCGAGTTGCCCAGTCTGTCGCTACACTATGCAGCTTTATATACTCGCTTGATGTTTACGTTCGATATTGGTAGGTCACATCTAGAACTGCCTCTTTTGGTAATAACCCTGCATTATACGTTTTTACAGTTTATATTTTGAGTAAATTTCTTTATTGATGTTTGGCCAGTATTTTCTTAAACGCAATCTTGTGACTTTTCTGGGTGGAATACCAAATACCGTTGGGCGAAGCAAGGATGAAGATATATTTTCTGATGAGACACGAAACTGCGTCCAACATCCTGGAAACTGCTCTTTTCGTGAAGGATTCCTCAAAGGATTCAGTCTGGAAATCCTAGGAGGAGATCGGGCACAAATTATGTCATATTAATAACATTTTAATCCATTTTTTTCTTCATTGTTTGTTTTTTCTATCTAACGAAGAACGACTCACTATCGATATATAAATTTACGTTTTACTTTTGGAATTTTTGTAAAAATGTGTGTGACAAATAAATAGGTAATAGGCTAAAGTTAAGGATTAAATAAAAATATATATTCAAAAGCAAATTTACAGGTGGTTTGAAATATATATCGTATTTCTAAAAATCAGTTGACAGTCACAAGCACTTGAAGAAAAGGGAAAAGACGTACAAAGTGGTTGTACCATTTCATTGCAACCCCCTAAATTGTTGAATGTGAGAAGGTGAGATTTCTTGATAAAAGTGATTATTTTCCTCCCAAATTCTTGTGTCAGAAATGTTCGATTGGTAATGAACATATGGGTATGTAAATGCATGGACATGGGATTTTCATTCGCTCACTTAACTCTCTCCATAAGTGACAAGTAGTCGGCAAATTTTTTCTACTGAAGACAATAAAAGTAGCCACCACAGACTATACGCGATGTGTTATTTCATACATCTTGACAAACTTTTACCTTCGTGCACGCAAAAAACGGAGTGTCAAAAGGAAGTTTTTTTTTTCTCCATTGACAACGCTATTATTTTAACGACGTTCATTCTTAGCGCTGATTAGAATTGTTATAAATTATTCTCCTTCTTTTTTGTTATTATTATTTTTAGTATTAATATTATTATTAATACCACTACTACTACTACTAATAATAATAATAAGAAGAAGAAGAATCTGGTTATTCCTTAGCACGTACGATGTGTCCTATAATAGTTCGACCGGTACCTGCCTACAAATTTATCTTGCCCGTTCTCTGCCTACAAATTCTTGGTATAGCAGCAGCTGACAGCGTAAATAACCAATTTTTTAACTTCTGCGAAGTCTCATTTTGGAGCGCGTTTTTAAGCTACATATTTTTTTTCTCGAAGTAAAGAAAGAAAGAAAGATCATGGAAGAAATAATGCCCTCATATGTGCAGAAATAGAGAGATTGAATATCACAGACAAAAAAGATATGCATAAACAAATAAGAGACTTAACAGAACAGAAGACGACACACTCGTCAACAGGCTGCATAAAATCCAAGGACGGATCGCTCATATTAGAGAAGAGAAACATTCTTCAGCGCTGGGATGAATAAATTGGAGAACTCTTTCCTGGAGGAAGAGAACAACCGGCAATACAAAGAATTACCGACAGGCCTGAAAACCGAAGTAGAAGATGCATTGGCCAGACTGAAGGGAAACAAGGCGGCAGGGCCAGACGGAATTGTAATAGAGATTCTAACAGCCTTGGATGATTTTGGCATAGACAAGATTACGCAAAATAATAAATGAAATCTATAACAGTGGAGACATAACGGAAGATCTAAGCCGATCCATTTTCATAGCAACGCCTAAAACAAACAAAAAAGCAGGCGCAAAAGAATGCGATCTCCACTGAACAATCAGCCTGATGAGCCATGTAACAAAACACATTATCCTTATTCTGATAACTAGAGCGCGCAGCAGAATCGCACCAGAGATAGGACAAGAACAGTGCGGGTTCGTTAAAGACACCAGGACAAGGAACATGATATTTATGTTATGTTATAAGAAAAATCAATATAAAAGCAAAAATTGTTTTATAGACTAGGCAAAGGTGTTTTACAAAGTACACTACAAATATCTGTAAGATTTGCTCAGCCACCTTGACATAATCAGGAAAGACATTAGAATAATCTAAAACCACTACTGGCAGTAAACCACCTTCATAAAAAAAAAAAAAAAAAATGAGCTCAGCAGATATACAAAAATAGAAAGGTGCGTAAGGCAAGGATGTGTCTTCTCACGGGACTTATTCAACCTATACAGTGAGGTAATTCTAAGAGAACTGGAAATCCTACCAGGATTTATCATCGGCTACAATCTCAACGACATAAAACACGCAAATGACATAGAACTGATAGATGACACAGAAAGTAAACTACAAGACCTCCTACAGAAGGTGGCGAAGGAAAGCGACAAGAAGGGACTAAATATATATATATATTAAACATATATATTATTAAACATGCATATTATTAAATATACATATTATTAAACATATATATATTATTAAACGTATATATTATTAAACATATGTATTATTAAACATATATATTATCAAACATATATATTATCAAACATATATATTATCAAAATATATATTATCAAACATACATATTAAACATATATATTATTAAACATACATATTAAACATATATATTATTAAACATACATATTATTCAACATGTATATTATTAAACATATATATTATTTAACACGATATGCAGTATTTAACTTTATGGATATTTAATGAATATTTCATTCCATTTAAATTCTCAAGACAATATGTCAAGTGCCAACCTGTAAAACGTAGAAATTGTCCTGCAAGTTTACTATTGAGTAAAAGAGATGCACGCTAACAAAGTGGTGCTGAGGCCCAACGATACGTTGCTAAATTTATACATAAGATGACACCCAGATTGATAAGAGTGTACGAACCACATTGAAGTATACTCTATGTAATGATAAGATTGGATAAAAAAGAAGAGCATAATCTTTTAGATGGTACCCAGTTACTCTTAAAGAGGGTAACACCACCGGCCTCTCAGATGCTCTCCGAATGAGGCTATTTACAAAAATCTGGACGTGGCTATCGAGACACTTTGACTGAATCTTTCTTCAAACTTAAAAAAAAAACACCGTTTTTTGACACTTGAGTAAAATGTTCCCCACTAATCCAGAACGTGAACACAGATAGCTCGTGCCTCAGTCCCAAGGGGATTATTATTATTTTTGTTTTATTTCCTTTGATTTCTGGCGTTTACACATTTCTTTCCCGCCTAAGGTTAGAAATGTCATCATGACACTTTCCACTGACAAAAAAAAATAATAAATAAATAAATAAATAGATAAAGCCTTTCGTAAAGTGTAGGCTGTACTTGTCAGAACAATTTTTGCATTTCTTTGAGGCATGGACTTCCAGGAATCCCTTCAATTAGTTTATTGGAATCTTTTCCAACCAATCCTAGGGCTCCAACTACAACATGGATTGCTTATTATTATTATTGTCATCATCATCATCATTCGATTTCTGCTATGGACACACTACCTACCAAGTCTTCGGAAAGACCTAAGGCAGGTCGTGGTGTGTTGTTATGGCCACATTTCATGTTAATTTTTTTTTTTTTTTTTTTTTTTATCTCCGGTGAAGTTGCTAGCGTTACATAGACAAAGTTCTCCTTAGTGTGTGTGCTGTACTTAATAAGACAATTTTCTGTATGTCTCTTAAGCTGGGGTTTCAGGATTCTTTCAATGTGTTGTTTTGTTCCATTTTTTATAATTCCAAGTGCACCTATTACCACTGGTATTATTCTTGTTTTCAATTTCCACATTTTTTCTATTTCAATTTCCAGGTCTTTTGTATTTTGATAGTTTTTCAAATTCCTTGGTTGCTATGTTACAATCCGCTGGACAAGCCATATCAATTAGTAGGCAAGTTTTTTCTTTCTGGTTTTTGACAATAATGTCCGGCCTATTTGCTTCAATTTTTCTGTCTGTGTGGATGGTATAATCCCATAGAATTATTATTATTATTATTATTATTATTATTATTATTATTTCTTTAATTTTGATTTATACACTTTCCTTCTACTTCAATTATTCTGTATGTGTGTGTTGTAAAGTACCATAAAAATTGTTACAGGCCGTAAGTCTATAACCGGGTCTGGGTGATGTTCTTGTAATTTCAGGCTGAAGTTGCAGATATTCTAGTGCAGTTATTGGCCCACTCTGTCGTGCCAAATTCTATATTCAGTGGGTGCTAATACCGTTCAACCTGATACAAGACCGTCAATTGTTTCTCGATATTTACCCACAATACCCGGCTTAACACAATTTTCCAGTACCCGTGCTTGGTAATTTCTAAACAAGCATTGGCAAGAATAATACCAATGGTTTCAGCTTTTACCCTATATTATTATTATTATTATTATTATTATTATTATTGTTATTATTATCATTTTTATTTTCTTTGATTTCTGGCGTTTACACATTTCTTTCCGGGTCCCGCCCAGGGACCTAAGGTTAGTAATGGCATCATGACACTTTCCACTGACAAAAAAAAAAAAAAATTACATAGATAAAGATCTTCGTAAAGTGTGGGCTGTACTTGTCAGACCAATTTTTTGTATCTCCTTGAGGCATGGACTTCCAGGTATCACTTCAATTAGTCTACTGCAATCTTTTCCAACCAGTCCTAGGGCTCCAACTACAACAGGGATTGTTGATGTTCCCATATGCCACATATTACATTTCTATTTCAAGTTCCTTGTATTTTGACAACTTTTTGAATATCTTTAAAGATACATTGCAGTCAGCAGGGACTGCCATATCAATAAGGAGCCACCGTTTTTGTTTGTGGTCTTTAATAAGAATATTATTATTATTATTATTATTATTATTATTATCATCATCATCATTTTTATCATTATTATCATTATTATTAATATAATTATCATTATTACTATTATTATTATCATTATTATTATTATCATCATTTTATCATTATTATCATTATTATTATTATCATTATTATTTTTATAATTATCATTATTACTATTATTATTATCATTATCATTATTATTATTATCATCATTATTATTATTATTTATATTCTTATAATTATTATTATTATTATTATCATCATCATTATTATTATTATCATTATAATTATCATTATTACTATTATTATTATCATTATAATTATTATTTTTATCATTATTATTATTTAATGCTTACAGCAGATGTCTGATATTTATCCTGTGTAACGTCAAATCTTCTGAAATCAGCCGAATATTTATTAGTCGTTGTTGCAGACACTAGAAGTAACGTGATTCGGACAGTCTCAATAATTCATTGAATTTAAAATTACTCCAATGTCAATTCTTCAGTTTCTGGCAGGGTCCCAGCTGTGTCGGTTTTATTGTGGGTACAAACTTATATCTCATTATTTATACCTTCGATATGTCCTAATAATTCCCTACTATTTGAATGGCTTTCCTTTCACATCTATATTTTCTTTGTTCTCATCAATTAGACAAATTTTGCTTGCTTGGATTGAAAGTCAAAATTCCAGATGTTTTTATAACTTTCTAGTCCCAGACTATACTTCTCAAAAATTCAATTTCCTAAGTTCTGTCCATTCGAACTCGCCGGTGTAGTTTGTAGTTTTTTAGCTGTCGCATCTTACAGAATTAAATTTCTCATTGAGTCAAGTGCCATCGAGATAAGATACATATAGATATGTCTGCGTGAGCACCTCAAGGGGGTGTAATAGTTGTCTCGCTAGAGCAATTACGAAAGAGTAGTGAGTTCGATGCTCGCTGGGTGCTCACTATTGAGTCACATCTAAGCTATGCTTATACAAATTTGTGCGTGTGTGTTATATTGTACGGTGTACTATCGAATATTACTGTCAAGTCAATCCATAAGAGAGAAAGAACGTGAGAACGAAAGAGAGAGAGTTATAAATATAGAGAAATAAGAGGAGAGAAATAAGAGAAGAAAGAGAAGGAGAAAGAAAGAAAAGGAGAGACAGAGAAAAATCAGGGAGAGAGAAACAAGAATAAAGAAAGGGAATATGGGGAGAGGAAAATAAAGAGATAGAAATATACAGCGAGAGAGAGAGAGAGAGAGAGAGAGAAATAAGAGAAGAAAGAGAAGGAGATAGAAAGAAAGAGAAAAGAAAGAAAGCGAGAAAGAGAAAGAAATACAGAGAAAGACGACGACAGAGAAAAGAGAGATTCAGCATCTTATTTTAGATAGATAGATAGATAGATAGATAGATAGATAGATAGATACACCGACCGACAGACAGACAGAGACAGATAAGAAACACATAGATAGATAGATAGATAGATAGATAGATAGATAGATAGATAGATAGATAACACACTCAAATAGATAGACAGGGATAGAGATAAGGAATATATATATATAGACAGAGATAGAGATAAGGAATATATATAGACAGAGATAACGAACATAGATAGATAGATAGATAGATAGATAGATAGATAGATAGATAGATAGATAGATAGATAACACACTCAAATAGATAGACAGGGATAGAGATAAGGAATATATATATATAGACAGAGATAGAGATAAGGAATATATATAGACAGAGATAACGAACATAGATAGATAGATAGATAGATAGATAGATAGATAGATAGATAGATAGATAGATAGATCATCAATCAAAGTACATATTCATATAATGGAACTGGCAAATACGGTTAATTTGGCTACCCATAAAAACACAAATAAATGATGTCATTTGCCTAAAACTGTGAGATGAACAACTTTGCTAATGCAGCTACTAATGATAATGTTAAATTGACAAAAGAACGGCCTTGTCAGAAGCAAACTGACTGGCGAGAAGGCGCTATTGTAGGACTAAACAGAACGTCCATCCCTTTACGATCCTCTTCCCTCACACCCCTCCCTATTACTTCTACCCGTCCATTAATGAAGTGTGAAATCACCGAGGCCTAGAATCATTAGCCGACTAATAATAGATTTTAGCGTCCGATCTGGGAGACGTGGAGATGTCCAGAATCAGAGATGGTGGTCAGTAGATTTTGAAGTGTTCTTTTTTGTTCTCTCAGTTTCTTTCTTTCCTTTTTTTTTTTAAATAAAAGCCTGATTTGCCTCCTATTCTCATTATACAATAGGATTTTTCTGACATTTTTATCTGCGCAAAAATTAGCCACACTTTCTACATAACAAAAGAAAAGAAAAAGTCTTAATGAATTACAAAATCGAAAAAATATTCTGGGTAAAAGGCAACGTATCCACCGAATAAAAATATTTTAGAAGATATATTTATGTGAAAATGAATCAGGAAGCAAGTATGTTTTATTTAACAAGATGTCCTGAGAAGTAGGAAAGAAAGAAACGGTTTCGATTCCTAGTAACAGGATCGCCACTCTTTGTTGTTGAAGATTTTTTCAGTACCTCGGAGTTTATTAAATGAATTGTTTTAATATTTCCCTCTTTCTGAGCTTTTGCACAATTTCCTGATATCCTTTATTAACGCTACGCGCTTTTATTGCACATAAAGAAAAAACTCTCTCTCCTAATCATTATAAGAACTCACTGGTTTCTTCTTCCACGCGATGTAAACAACCATGACACTCCACAATATCAGATCCTTTGTAGCGGTTAATAATGTTTCTTTTCTTTTCCTTATCTCTTCTAAACAAATCCGCCATCCATATACTCAAATTCATTAAGTAAATTCTCCTTGTTGCCTTAAATTTCTCCTGTGAGTAGCAGATTTTCCATGCCCTCCTTCTTCCTTATACGCTTTAGATATTTCACCTGTTTCTTCCTGATGTTCAATATAAGTGACCTTTTTGTTTCTATTTTTTCTAAAACTTCGTGGTTTGTCCATGGTAATGTCATTATTCTTCTGTAGAAGCACATTTCTTTTGCTTCAAGTCTCTTCTTCATCTGTGAAGAGATTGTCCAGCATTCCCTGCCATATAGGAGGAACATTTCAGTACTGTTTTCTTTGATTCTAACGAAATCTTCCAGTTTCTCAATACTGGGCTTAGCTTATGGAAGGCACCTTTTGCTATCACAATATGATTTCGGATTTCAGTGTCAGTGTTTCTATTGATTCAAGTCTCTTCTTCAGATTGAAGAGATTCTCCACTATACACTGTCATATGGGAGGACTGATATTACGCAATAGTTCAGCACTCCCCTGTGTCTTAATACCTTGCTTAGCTTTGGGAAGTCATCACCCTGGACTTCCACACCTAAATGTGCCAATCTTTCTGAAAGATAAAGCAACGGAATGAAAACAAAAAATCTTTCAGGTTACACTAAGTCTAATTTTCCTTTAACTTATTTCAATCCAAGTCCGTCAATGAAGTCACTAAGTGGTGAGTGAGAGTGAAAGAGTCTAAGAAAAAAAAGACATTAAGAAGATGTTGTGGATTCCGGGATGAAATCCGGTATCAATAAATAACAAACGCCAAGAAGAAATATAGAAAAATAAATGTATTAATGTAATAATACAAACTGGTACTGCAGGTTAGTAGTCCCAGGAATGCGGGTTGGTAGCAAAATATATATATACAGTCTTTGGTATCGACGTATCACTGTATGACTTCTTACTGAGTCTACGTGCTTGCTCACTGTGACTCTTGCTCGTTACGTTCGCCCTGGTTCATGCTCGTTCGTCCTTCTCGGGTATTCACGTAGCAGTATTATATGTATACCCTGGGTGATTCCATTTGTGTAAAAAGGGGAGAACCCCCCAACAGAAGAGAAGCCAGTAAAAGAACAGGATACAAGGAGACAGTAGATGACAATTGACATTGTGTTTAAATCTTTAAAGGCCAAGTTTGATTGGAAAACAAGAACCCGGAAGAAAATTCCAGAAGTGTGAAGTGGGAGATATGAAACTGCTAGTATAGAAATTAAGAATACATCTAGCAATTTCGACATTAAAATGATGAGATCTCACTGCCAATCTCGAACTACGCTTAAATGCGTAAAGACGACGTACCAAACAGGAAAGTTCACCAGAATAATTACCATAGAAATATTTATAGGAAAAGCACAGCGGTTGGCAAGAAACTGAAGCTGAGATGCTGGATCAGAACCGATAACATTGCAGATATTTCTTTGGAACTTATCAAGAATCTCTAGATAAATAGAAAAAGCAGCAGCATTCAATGCATGGACAAGTGATTTAATATAATCGTTCTAATGCATCTCAAAACAACGTTAATAATAATAATAATAATATTGATAATAATAATGATAATAATAATACACCGGCTGAAACTGCAAAATACCTAAAAAAGATAGCTAAGACGAATGCAACCGACCAGTTACAGAAGCGATGGCAAGATAAACCGCTTCATGGCCAATACTCTGCCCGAACCAAACAAGCTGACGTAGACAAAACCCGTACCCATCAGTGGCTACGTAGTGCAGGGTTGAAAGCGGAAACTGAAGGTTTTATCCTTGCTGCGTAGGACCAATGCTTGCTAACTAGGAATTATCAAGCACATATACTAAAATATTGTGTCAGCCCAAAATGCAGATTCTGTGATAAATATCCAGAAACAATTGATCATCTTGTATCAGGTTGCACGATATTGGCACCCACTGAATATAAAACCCGGCATGACTGAGTGGGCCAATATCTACACTGGAAAATCTGCAACTTCTCCGGGAAGAAAACTGAAAGAAACTGGTATGAACAGCACCCAGACTCGGTTACGGAGATAGGACCTCTTACAATTCTATGGGACTACACAATACACACTGACAGAACAATCAAGGCCAACGGGCCAGATATTGTTATTAAAGACCATAAACAAAAACGATGACTCCTTATTTATATGGCAGTCCCTGCTGACTGCAATGTATCTTTGAAGATATTCAAAAAGTTGTCAAAGTACAAGGACCTTGAAATAGAAATCTCGAAAATGTGGCATATGGGAACATCAACAATCCCAGTTGTAGTTGGAGCCCTAGGACTGGTTGGAAAAGATTGCAGTAGACTAATTGAAGGGATACCTGGAAGTCCATGCATCAAGGAGATACAAAAAATTGTACTGACAAGTACAGCCCACACCTTACGAATGGCTTTATCTATGTAATTTAATTTTTTTTTTATTTTTTTTGTCAGTGGAAATTGTCATGACGCCATTTCTAACCTTAGGTCCCTGGGCGGGACCCGGAAAGAAATGTGTAAACGCCAGAAATCAAAGAAAATAATAATAATGATAATAATAATAATGATGATGATGATAATAATAATAATAATAATAATAATAATAATAATAATAATAATAATAATCCAATATCTGCACTGGAAAATTTTCAACTTCTACGGGAAGGAAAGTGAAAGAAAGTAGTATGAACACCACCCAGACCCGGTTACGGAGATAGGACCTGTTACAATTCTATGGGGCTACACAATACACACTGACAGAACAATCAAAGCCAACCGCCCAGATATTGTTATTAAAGACCACAAACAAAAAAAGTGCCTCCTTATTGATATGGCAGTCCCTGCAGACTGCAATATATCTTTGAAGATATTCAAAAAGCTGTCAAAATACAAGGACCTTGAGATCGAAAATGTGGCATATGGGAACATCAACAATTCCTGTTGCAGTTGGAGTCCTAGGATTGGTAGGAAAAGATTCCAGTAGACTAAGTGAAGGGATTCTTGGAAGCCCATGCCTCAAAGAAATACAAAAGATTGTTCTCACAAGTACAGCCCACACTTTACGAAAGGCTTTTTCTATGTAATATATATATATATATATATATATATATATATATATATTGTCAGTGGAAAGTGTCATGATGCCATTCCTAACCTTAGGTCTCTGGGCGGGACCCGGAAAGTAATGTGTACACGTCAGAAACCAAAGGAAATAAAAATAATAATAATAATAACATGTCCTGTGTAAATATTGGGTTGCTGCTTAATTATCAGGCTTATTTATAGGCGAGTTATTTCTTAATAAAAATTGTATTTTGTTTACTTTTTTTAACAAAAATATTATTTTATTTTTACCTTATAAAAATGAATGTCGGTAATCATACGCTTCGGAATAATCATTTACAAATGTTATTGCTGAATTATTATCCTTCTTTTTTCATAATAATAATTGTTAAATAATGCCTGATAATCATGCACCAATCCGATATTTGCAAAATTACGTATACATACGTTATTACAGCAATAATCACTTCACCCCAAGCAATGTGATTACGCTTTCTTTTTCTTTTTTTTTTTATATGCCGTGTCCTTTCAAGACGTAGGAGATCATGGCTCTCCACCTCCTTCTATCCCTTGCAGTTCTCAACAAGTTCCTTCACTCTGCTTCCTCCTCAAGACCACATTCTGTCATCCACTTGCTTAAGCCCGCCAGGTATGTCATGCATTATTTTCCCTTGTCTCACTTTCTCTCAATTCGACCCGTGAGTATCAGATTCTCGAGGCCCCTTTTCTCATTATGTGTCCCAGAAACTTAAACTGCTCCTTCCTGATATTGCAACTTCTTAAGATCTCATCGTTGCTCGTAGGATCGGTTCATGATATCCTTAACATCCTTCTGTAGAACCAAATTTCTCTCGCCTCGAGTCTCTTCTTCATCTTTGAGGAAATCGTCCAACATTCGCTGCCGTAAAGAAGGACCGATGCCACCTAACA